AATGGAGTCAGTAGTCAACAAATAAAGTACAGTATTTTTATTGGGACTGTAGGATTCCCTCCAAATTTTAGAAGATCTCAAACGCTAAAGTACAAAGTACAGTATTTTTATTGGGAGTGTAGGATCCCCTGCAGATTTAGAAGATCTCAAACGCTAATAGTACAAAGTACAGTATTTTTATTGGGAGTGGAGGATCCCTCGCATATTTAGAAGATCTCAAACACTTTTGGAAGCCGCCATGGAAGCGAAGAGAGAAGCAGAAGAAAAAATAACAAAACAGTATACAAACATAAACAAATGTTACATAGAGTCGAACAAAAACAAAAAGCTGTACTTTCCCTAACTATTTTATCCTATTATACATATGGCAACTTTCCTATCTTGTATACATTTTGGGAGCATGATCAACAAGTACGCGTCAATATGGCGCAGAAGAATCACCACATGAAGTAGGGTTCCACAACACCTATTATGGAATCGCAACAACATGTGATGATTCTTCTGGCTATATTCAGACGGCGACTTATTGTCATTGCTCCCCTCCCTGCCTCTAACAAAGACCCTGCATGGAGAGAAAAGGAGAAACAATACAACGAAGGATTTAGTTTAACAGTCACGATCTAACAATGACATAATGAAAGGAAATGAGATCTAAAATAATACGCAGTCTCATCATTACCACTGCACCCGAAAATAAAGCATGGGATAGGAGGACGAGAGGCGGATGGAGTTGATTTTCGGGGTTTCATATTGAGAAGATGGAAGAAAGGGTTCTTTTCAGGGATTGAGAGGAGGAGGAACGAACAGCAGCAGGAGTGGTTTTCGGAGTCTCATATTGGGAAGATGGAAGAAAGGGTTCTTTTCAAGGATCGGAGCACGGTCTCTCCTTCACTGATTAACGAATTTAAAGATTGACTCGTAATTACTTTTACTTTCCCTCCCTTCACATTTACTGAAAATTACAGTCCCTACCACTGCCTCGGCCTTGGTAACGCCAGCATTGGTTATGGGCAAAAGCGACTTTTCGAATTCGGCAATATCTGATTGGGTGACACGCACGCGACGAGGATCGAAGGTATTTCACCATCGGATCAAGGGAAAAGTTTAGGAATTGACGGTGGGAAATGGGGATGTACTTTTTTAAATAGTCTGAATTTGTAGATTAACTAACTTTTTCGTTTACCAACATTACTCTATTGATCTGGTTTATGTTATTCTAACTTGAAACCCTAAACCCTAAACCCTAAACCAAACCCTAATACACGAACCAATCAATATCATATACTCTACAACAATAAGAACACCTTATAGGCTTATACCGTAACCAATCAATAACATATATACTTTAAACCATCAACACCTTGCTCCTCCCTTATACGTCCATAACCTTCAAGACCTTATACTGTATACCAACAACACCTTCTTCTATCTCCATCCCCAACTTTCAATTTATAATAAGTGTTTCCTTTGAAATATAAAATGGAACCCACCTTGGCAATTACTAGCATAATGTAGGGATGTAGATGAATAGAAATTGTTAAGTGATGAATTGCTAAAATTGATGATGTGGCGGTAGGGACCTCGTTTAGAAATTGTTGTTCAATTTTAGGGATGAAGATGATCAATATACTAACCCAATACCATATACTCTAAACCATCAAAACCTTATACAATATCTTATTTTAGGGATGGAGATGATCAATACACTAACCCAATACCATGTACTCTAAACCATCAACACCTTATACAATATCGTATACCTATACGCTGATAAATTAAAATTATAACTTGCTTTTCAAAACATAAATTAAAAATTGATACCTCACTAAGTATCGAACCACAAACCTCTACTAATTTGACTAAGCAAATAAGAGACAATTAACCAATTAAGCTACATCACATTGATGACCATCTTGCATAATTTCGCTTTCTTATTAAGTGAAGGGTTAAAATGATCGATAAATATATCACAGGGGATTGTTTCAACTTCGCCGGGGACTGAGAGAGTGGAAAAGGGGTAATTATTCTACCAAAACAGAAAAGAAAAGGGGAAATTAATGAAGAGTTAAATTGGACGGATTGTCTTTACCACGCCACTACAAAATCATTCGGAGCAAAAACACGCAGGTTCAAATCAAACAATAAATTATCAGCATTTATAAGCAGATATAAAGCATTTATAAGCAGATATAACGAATTATGTCTTAGTAATAAGGCATGATCAGCATTTATAAGCAAATATAAAGAAAATATATAATCGAGAAAAAATAAGACAGCACCTACCCTCACCCTTTAACCAATCGATACCATATGCTCTAAACCATCAACACCTTATAACCTACCCATATAACATATACTCTATACCATCAACAACCTAATACCCTAAGCAGTCAGTACCCATTTCCTCTAACATCAACACCTTATACAACAATCGTATACCTATACGCTGATAAAATTTTACATTTTGAAAATACTTGCCCAACTAAAGTACATAGGTACTTCAAAAGTGAAACTCTAACTTTCGTTTCAAAACATAAATTCAAAAAATATCCTCACTCAGTATCCAACCACAAGCCTCTAATTAGTCTACAAGAGGTTTGTTATGTACGAGTGCATTGCATAAAGAGGGGAAATCGGTGAGAGAGTGGAATGGGATCTCAATTAATGAAGAGTTAAATTGGGCGGATTGTAGTTTACCTCGTACCGCTAAATGTGTAAAGAGACACGCTAGCATTTACCAAATTCCAAAAAAGATGGAACACAGAATTATGTTTAAATTGCGTGAACTCAATGAATGATCAGGATTTTAGAAGCAGAAGCAGATGAAAATAAGTAAAACAAAGAATCGCCACTGAGAGTCTGAGATAGACAATTATCAAAGGCCCAACCTAATGACAATCCGGAACTCAGTATCTATTATCAACAAACTAGGTGTCATGGGTCCATGTACAAGCCCACGTTTGAATGTTATTTAAAAGCCTGCAAAAATCAATGATCAGACCCAGTCCAACTAGAATTAGTCCTAAACGCAGCGTTAATACATAAACACAAATTAAGGAGACCTCTCCATCTGATTCGAATCAAATTAGGTCTTCTTCATCTCCTTCCTCAATCCTCTGGGCGAGACGAACACTGCATATCAGGAAACCTTAATTTCACCGAGTGATAGAAGTTTCGAGAAAATGACAATAACGCTAAGACAAGATGACAAAGCACTAGCGACATGAACCCTAGGGTTAGCAAATCTCTTTCAAGGGTTCTTTTGGAAACGAAAAGTTTGATGAACACAATAATAGACATGGTCGCCGTAATCGTGTTAGAAAGAGTAAGGCGAGTAAATTCCGCACGAAAATAAAATGGCGATGAACAAAACGTCGATTTGTGGATAAAAGGATTTGGGGTTCTAAACGATGATTATGTGAGGATTTCATATTGGATGGGGATCTTCTCTTCGAATGTGGATACATAGATTTGGCGTATGAAACATGATGATGTTGGGGATTTGAGATTGGATAGGGAGCTAAATCGAATGTGGATCAAATAATAAAAGGATTTGGGTTTCGAAACGATGATTTTGTTGGAGATTTCAGATTTGATAGGCAGCTTATGATCGAACTTCGAACTTAGAGTTAGAGGGGACCCTCCAAGGCGAATGAGGGATCGTAGAAGGGAGACTGGAAATTGGTTAGGGCGGCGGGTCGTATCCATAGGGTTTAACCTCTTAATCGCTATCATTAAACCGGGTACAGTTAGGTTGAAGTCCGTAGAAGTCACCATAAACGCTTCGTGATGCATTTGGTAATTTTCCTTGCCCCCGGTTACCCGTACCCCGGATTTTGCCCTGGGCACCGTAGAACTGCCCATATATATATATATATATATATAATTTTGATTTATATTTTTTTTTTTGGCGGCAAATAGCATGTCCTTTTTCCCCTCTTCTTCCTCTGCACACAATCATCACCGCCGCCCTTCTCTCCATTCAATCCCGATCCAAATATGGCGTAATCCACATCAATGACCACTCAATCTCCTTCTTTTTGACCTCCACAAAACCCTCGACCATACTCTCTCATCTTCTTCGAGCCATGTTTTCTGGATTTTTTGGGGCGGAGTCGCCGGTGGGTCAGAGGTTCAGGTCGTCCATGAGACAAGCCCCGCGTGGGCTATTGAAGTCGATGAGTACAAGAACGAGCTCGAGTAGCAGCAGGAGCAACAACCGATTTCCCACCCTCGTCGCCGCAGTCGCCGATCTGAAGTAGTCCAGATATGCTTCCTCGATACAACCGACGAGAGCCCTCAATAATCGATTCGATGGATCGAAGCTCCTGACTGCTTCTGCTTCCACCTCTGGAACGCGTGAGAGGAGCCGGGGACCGACTAGGTCGTCGTGATTGATTCCTGCATGAATCTGCGGGACTCCATTTTCAACGAGAGCGACGAGCAATGGACAAGTGTCCTCTTGAAAATCTGCCTCAATTTGACCACGGGGAAATCCACCCGCCGCCCGATCGCCTCCGAGCAGGTGAACCAGGAGGCAGGAATGGTGAACCGGAACCTGCTTGTGGAGAAAGACACACGGGAGAAGTCGACCGGTCAGTCACAAGAAACGAGATCTCAGCGAGTCCGCCACGAAAACGGAATCCACTATCAAGAAGTTACTCGGCTCGAAGCGTCCGTTCTATTTCCCTCTCGATGCGGAGGTCGTTCCGTTCTCTGGATTCGACAGCAGGGAAACTACCGCCACCGCTGATACTAACAAAGAAGTGAACGAGGAGGCAAAGTGGGAAACTTTTTTCTTTTTCTTACAATTCATTTTATTTGATTTATTTATTTTAATTTAAGTAATATTTTCTTTTGTGGCACATACGTGGGTGCCACCTAAGCATTACTTCAAATATGGTCAAACGAAAGCTGAACAATGTTTGGCCAATAGTTAATTCCAACGGAGAACAAAAATTCTTTTTTTTTTATGAAAGGGTGCAAAGCACCACAACCTCTTATTCAATTATCGAGCGAACGGTAAAACCGCCAACAGAGTCAAAAAGGGCCCAACGGCTTACATCAAGGTCAGAAAGAGCAATAGGATGATAGCCTGGAGACAACGAGTGTCCCTTATGAGCGAGGCAATCGGCCAAGAAGTTGGCCTCTCTATAAATGTGTGTGATCCGGACTTCCCACTCCCGGCGCAACAGAGACTGAAACGCCAAGGTGAGACTAGCGTGCTGGTGACTATGGCTTCCGGTGTCCTGAAGAAGCGTGATAGCTGTCTGTGAGTCCAGTTGCAACTCCACCCTGCGGTATCCTGCATCCCACGCAATCTCGAGGCCCTTGAGTGCCCCCCAAATTTCTGCTCTGGTAATGGTACATTTCCCCAGGTTCATCGCATAGGCCCCTAACAAGCGACCCTGCCAGTCTCTAAGCACTCCTCCTGCAGCGGTAGACCCTGACGGGCGCAGAAGCGACCCGTCGGAGTTCACTGTGATCCACCCTGTCGGGGCCGGTCTCCACCCCACGGCCATGTCTCGACGCGACCCCGACCTCCCCAGTGATAAGTTGTTTTCCGCCTGCTTACTCTGCTGAGCGACGACCTCCCAGGCTAGGATACTTTGCGCTAACTTGTTAGGGGTTTCTGCGATGCCTGAAAAAATGAAACCATTCCGAGCACGCCAAAGGAACCAACAGGTAAAACCAAATCGGACCTGGCTTTGGGGGCACCTTGAGAGATCAGTAAACCATTCTTGAAACTGACGAGCATCATCCGGAGCTATGGCCGCTGGAAGCATCTCCCTCCAAACCTGTCTCGCGAACTGACACCGGCGCAGGACATGCTCGAGCGACTCTGTGTTCGTCTGACAGCGAGGACAAGCTGCATGATCGGCTAAGTGTCGCCGGGTTCGCTCCATGTTGGTGAGAAGTTTGCCGTGCGCTGCAAGCCACAGAAAGTGGCGTATTCGGCTCGGTCCTGGCCAACTCCAAAGGGACTTCCAGCTGTTATCCGCCTCCGCGTCATCCACTTCGGCCACCAAGTTGTAAGCAGACTTTATAGAAAAGTCCCCTTTAGGCTCCAACCCCCAGACAAGCTCATCAGCACCGAGATCCCCCTTTGGAACGGGCATACCCACAACCTGCAACAACAACTCAGGTGGTATGTAGCGGGAAAACAAAGAAACATCCCACTCACCTGTGGACGTCACCATGTCTGCAACGCTAGCTCCTCCGTTGAAGTTGTCGTCGATGTTGATGATATGATCAGCAAGACACACGCAGCTATCAAGCCAAACCGCATCCCAGAAGCTCGACGATTTCCCATCCCGAATACTCCAACGGGCACCTCATCCAGTCTTCCTGCGTGCACGAACAACACCGTTAGGCCCCTCCTTTAGGTACTTTTCTGTTAGGATACGTACCCAAAGCTCATCGGGGCATTTCAAAATGGTCCAAGCAAGCTTGACAAGATAGGCGCTATTGAGGTCCCGAGCTTTACGCAGTCCTAGTCCTCCTTGGTCCTTCGGGCGGCAGACAGTCTCCCAATCAACCAAATGGATTCTTCGCCTCCCCTGTTGAGATCCCCAGATGAAACCCCGAATCCGCCTATCAATGGTATCACAAACGGCCGCCGGGAGGACTGAAGTTTGCATGGCGTACGACGGAATGGCATTCAGGACGGACAAAGCCAGGGTAACCCGTCCTGCCAGGGAGAGGTTTTCCGCCTTCCAACCTGCAAGCTTCTGATCCACCCGGTCAATGAGATACTGGTAAGTCTTCTTCATGATCCTCCCATGAAGCACTGGTACCCCTAGATACCGGCCAAGATCTTGGGTCATGGGGATCCCAAGGTTTTGGCTGATATCCCGGCTTAACTCCCGCTTCACATTACGAGAGAAATAAACTCTCGACTTCTCCTTGCTAACCATCTCTCCCGATGCTTCACAGAACTGCTTCAGACAATCCATAATAATGTTCACCTGTTCCTGCGAGGCTTCAGCAAACAACACAAGATCGTCAGCAAAAAAGAGATGGGAAAGTTTCGTACCACCTCGAACCAGCTGGATAGGTTTCCACTTCCCGTTGCTCACTGCCTCCTCTATCAGGTGGCTCAGCCTTTCAATGCAGAGGGTGAAAAGGTAGGGAGACAGAGGGCACCCTTGCCGAATTCCTCTGGTAGGCTTGAACTTCTCAGTTGCTGCTCCCTCCCACAAGATCTCCATGGCCGGAGTAGAGACGCAGCTCATCACCGCTCTAGAAAACTCCGCTGGTAGCCCTGCCTGATCCAACGTGTCGGCAATGCTCCATTTCAGGCGGTCATAGGCCTTCGCAAGGTCGATTTTGAGAACAATATGCCTCTTGTTGCCCTGTTTGGAGTGCATGGAGTGCACTACCTCCTGCAGAATGATGATGTTGTCCTGGATATGTCTACCTGGTACAAAGCTCGTCTGAGTAGGGGCCACCAACTGATGCATCAAGGGTTTCAAACGCTCCGCCAAGCACTTTGTAAACGCTTTATACACAACGTTGCAAAGGCTGATGGGTCTGAAGTCGGCCACTCTCTCTGGTTGCGTGACCTTGGGAATGAGGACCAGGAGGGTCTCGTTGATCTCTGCCACACGTTCCGGGTTTCTGAAGCATTCGGTCAGGAAGACAACAACCTTGTCACCCACGGTGCTCCAGCATTTTTGGAAGAATAGCGGTTGAAAACCGTCTTTCCCGGGAGCCTTAAAGGCGCCCATCGACTTGAGAGCACTCAGCACTTCAGCAGCTTCCAGCTCCCTCGCAGTAGAGTTAAAATCACCATCCCCAATTGGGAACTCATCATTCAAGGGTGACCCAGTTTCCACGGAGTCCGTATAGAGGTCTTTAAAGAACTCACGGACTAGCCTCTGCAGCTCCGATGGGTTATCAACCCACTCATTGGCATCATTCTTGAGTTTCCGGATTCGATTTCTGCACCGGCGCTTGATTGTGGATAGGTGAAAAAATTTGGTGTTACGGTCTCCATCCACAAACCATATCGCCCTCGACTTTTGGTACCATAACAGCTCTTCATGCTTCAGGACTTCTGACAAGGCCTAGCGGACATTCGCTTGATCTTGGAGGCTCGCTTGAGAGGGATTAAGCTCGTTGCGGATTTCCAGTCTTTGAAGCCTAGCAATCAGCTTCTACTTCTTCGCCAGTATGTTCCCAAACACCTCTTTATTCCACTTGCTGAGCGCTGCGGAGAGGCCGGAGATAGCATCACAGAAGCTAGTATCGATAGCCCAGCTCTCCTGCAAAACCCGAGAGAAGTCGTCGTGCAACAACCAGGGGGCCAGAAAACGAAATGGCTTACCGGACCGAGCCGAATTCCCAGGTCCCTCGGAGTTTGTGAGGATCGGACGATGATCGGACTTGATCCGGGGGAGATGGGAAGTATGTGTCTCCGGGAATCTTTGTAACCATTGGGTATTGCAGAGGGCACGATCAAGCCGTTCCCTCAGGTTGCCCCGCTGCCAAGTGAATTTCGGACCTGTGAACGCTACATCCACCAACCCACAGTCGTCGACGCAACTCCGAAATTCCCTGCTCGGGGCTGCAGCGAAAACAGCTCCTCCTTGCTTGTCCTGAGGGCCAAGAAGCGCATTAAAATCCCCCGTCAGAAGCCATGGGCTCGTGATGGTGGCTGCTAAACGCCGACAATCCTCCCACAGTCCCCGTCGCGTACTCTGGACCGGGCTACCATAAACTGCAGTAACAAATCCTTCTTCCCCGTTGTCGAGTTTGAGTCGCACGTGAAGCATCTGGTTTGAACGAAAGGACTCCTCCAAGGAGACTTCTCCTTTATTCCAAAGGACCCATATACCGCCAGCAAACCCATTAGCCTCCACACACAAATTGCTATCGAAACCCATTCTCCTTAGGACACCGGCAGTCGTTGTCCCGCTAATTTTGGGCTCAGTAATCACCACAATGTTCGGCCGATGAAGCCTGCAAAACTCCTTGAAAGCTGTGAGAAAATCGGGGTCAGCAGCTCCCCGACAATTCCAAGCAAAGATCTTAACCATAAATAAAAATTAGAGAGAAAGAGAGAAAAACAAAGACACAAAAGGAAAAAGCACGAAAAAGGAAGAGCTAGGGCAAGAGAAGCTCCCTCGAGGCAAGCCTCAACGCTTGTTGCATGCATGCACGTCCAAGTTAGACGTGGCCTGCACCCCTTTCTTCGACTCCGCTTCACTCACCATGAACCTAACGTCCTCTACTGCGGACGACAAAGTAGCAGGAGGGATCTGGTGAGTGTTTCCCACTGCCTCAGGAGTGTCGTTTAAGTCCAAGCTCCGTGCCGCCCCTTTCCTTCCTGTGGACTGGCTCGCCCGACTAGAAAAGGGAGGAGTGGATGGGAGTGGTTGGCGCGGCCCCTTAGCATGCTGTTTCGCTTGTTTCTTGGCCTCGGTCTTATCACCTCCCTTGTTCTTATTGTGAGTCTTGTCTGTACCAGTCTGTTTTCCTCCTTTTGTTGTAGCCCCAACACTCTTTTCTATCCCCGCCTTGCCAGTCACCTCGCCATCAATACCCGCCACTGTACCCTCTCCATTTGGCTTCCCCTTGTTTGACTTTTCTGGCGCTATGCTTGGATGAGGAGCTAGAAGAGGGTTTGTTTGGTTGATAGCTTGCGAAACAACACCCGTAATTGAGGCCTCCCCTATCTCCTCAGCCATGACTGTGTCACTGTCCTCGGCGCTTCCATCTACACCCTTCTTGGCCGCCAGGGCGAGTGAACTCGGGTGCTCCATCAGCTCATCATTAAGGTCGTTAAGCACGGCAAAACGAGACCCTGAGTGGGTTGGTGCGGATAGCACATTATTGGCATTCCTTGGTGTACCATTGGTTGCTGCCGAAGTACGAGGGTTGCGCTTCCGGTTGCGGGATGCCAGCATCCAAGGACCAAAATCTTCAAAGATCTCTGGCCGTTCCTCCTCAATTTTCCGTTGAGTGGCTGGGTTTTGGGCTTGGCGGAAGTCCTCGTCCGTAGGGGATGGAGACGCATTCTTAGGGCAAGCTTCAGCAGCGTGACCGAATCGCCCGCATTCAAAACACACGTTATGGAGACCCTCATATTGCAAACGACGAATGCGCCTTTCCAACCGATATTTGACGATCAATGGTTTGGAGAGGTCCACCTCCACGCATATCCTTGCATAATGTCCCCGCGAAGCATCACGTGTTGCTGCATCCATCTTGATATAGCGCCCTATGGAATTCCCAATGTCTTTTAAAATTTCAGAGTCATAGTAGTCCATGGGAAGCTTGGGCAGCCGAACCCACACAAGCAGGTTGGTTAGGACGTCATCGCCCTCCTCAGGATCAAATCCTCTCTTCCAACGGCGTGTGAGGACGTAATGGTCCTCGACCATCCATGGGCCTTCGTATAGAGCTCTGTCATAGTCCCGTTCCGTGGTGAAACGAACGGAGTAGAACCCTTGTCCCATGCTTGCAACCGTAATCGTTCCGGTCTTAGCCCATAGGTATTGAAGCCTTCGCTGGAGGAAGAGGAAGGGAAAGGATCGACCTAGGATCCGAACAATAATGGCCCTACGCCACTCATTCCCCAGCCGCTGCTTCGTATCACGAGTGATGCGGATGTTCGGACAGTCGGGCTCTCCTTCCCCATCGCTCTCCATATCATCCTCAGGTTCCTCTAAAGTCTCATTCGATTGGTTTCCCTCTCCAGTCACAAGATCTTTATATGACCGTACTGGGACAGCGTTAGGTGAACTCTGATCCGGGTTGCTAACCGTCTCTGTAACTGTAGGCGGAGCGGCCGCTTGGGTAGCATGTACGGCCGGCTCCACTTGCATCGCAACGCTGCCTGTAAACTCACCATCAGTGATGGGTTTCGCCTTTTTGGAGGGTTGGGCGGGAGACAGCTGTTCCGCCGTAACTAGCTGGGTGGGGGGGGAGCCCCCAGTGGCCTCCGGCGTGCCGCCGGCGGCGCTCATCACAGGTTTGCGGGAGAAACCCTAGCAGCGGCGCACTCTTGGGATCCGAAAATTGCGGAGCTCTTTTGCTCTTCTGAATTAGGAGAACAAAAATTCTTGCAACACAAATGACGCAAATACCTAATAAGTTGGAATATTTTTGTATTTATTAAGTTACGTAATATAAATGGCAATTCTACTAAAAGGTTAGATATTTCCAATATTGTTAAGTAACTACCCAGTAATAGGAAAGACGTTGGACACGGAGTACTTACAGTTGAGTACTCTTATTAATGATTCGTCGAGAAAATACAAACTTAATTGATTGCAGAAGGTCAGAGCTGAACATACATTTTTTGGACCCAATCATAAAATACATTGATAATATTCAAGTGAGATGATAAACGTACTTGAACTTTCAGTTCCTAGCAATGACAAGATGAACACAATGAAAGCTTAAGAAAGATTATTTAAAAAAAACAAATAAGATTATAGAACTCAAGTCGGACTTGACTACGCCTAGGAAGACCTAATTATAGGAGAATCAAGACAAGTAGTCATTGACTAATCTTTTAGAATACTAAAGTCATACTAAGAAATTGGTACAACTAATCCACCTAATATGAATTAACAGAATGGTTCATTAATCAAGCTCATACTTACTAACTAATCTGGAGGAACCGACATGCAACAAACACCTCTAAACCCACAAGAGAATCACATAAGAAACCAACACATACTCCAAGGGAACTTCGGACCTATAAAGAACCAAAAATGTTTCACTCAGGCATTAGTATGTCTATCTTACCTTTGAATACTCCCTATACGAAATAATGAAGCAAAACACACCGCATTCGTAGATGGATCTTCCTAATTCAATACAAAAAATACCAAACTGAGGAAGCTACACAAAAAAAGTCTGATCAAACTTATGAAGCAAAGACTCAGAAAGTCACAGATAATTCTTCAACTCCAAAACAACGCTAATTTGCAACCGCATTCTTCAAGAGATCTTCCAATTCCATAAAAACATCACTAAATTGACGTCTTAAACAAAAAATGTATCATCAAACTCATGAAGCAAAGACTAAAAGTCACAGATAATTCTTGAACTCCAAAACATTGTTACTTGCCACCATTGAGCCGCATCACCAACACTACCTTCATTGAGAGAATCGACTACAACCATTTCAAGTTGTCCTCCAATAACAACGAAGTTAATCCAAGAGAGGGACCTCTGCTAAAGCCTAACGGACCATAAACGGCCCATGCAGCAGCCCTAATCTGCAAAATAAAAGAAATCTATTAGTATTAACATATAAGCATATAAGTATTGCAAATAATAATGTACAAAAATGACTTACCAGTGGGTCTAGGTTAACCCCTGCAAACAAAGGCATCATGGTTACCATGTCATTAACCAACATCCTCACAGTCAGTAAATCAGCAGGGACCAATCCACCGCCAGGATTGTGAGTATGAAAGTCTTTTTCAACCAAGAATTGCTTAAACAATTTCACAACGAAGACGTGCTCAGATCTTGGTTCAGGCAACGCTATGGCACCTACACCACCTCCATTGAGAGAATCTACTGCAACCATTTCAAGGTGTCCTCCAATTGAACCACCTCCAATAACAACAAAATTAATCCAAGAGAGGGACCAGCTTCTAAATCCAAACGGATCGTAAACGGCCCGTGCAGCAACCCTAATCTGCAAAATATCAATAACTTATGTCTATTCAAATAAAATGATACAAGTATTGCAAATAATGATGTACAAAAATGACTTACCAGTGGGTCAAGGTTAACCCCTGCAAAAAAAGGCACCCTGGTTACCATGTCATTAACCAGCATCCTCCCAGTTAGTAAATAAGTAGGGAGCAATCCACCGCCAGGATTGTGATTGTGAGCATGAAAGTCGTTTTCAGCCAAGAATTTATTAAACAACTTCACAACGAAGACTTGCTCATATCTTGGTTTAGGCAACGCTATGGCACCTGCACCACCTCCATTGAGAGAATCGACTGCAACCATTTCAAGTTCTTCTCCAATATCACCACCTTCAATACAAACGAAGTTAATCCAAGAGAGGGACATGCGGCTAAAGCGAACGGACCATAAACGGCCCGTGCAGCAGCCCTAATTTGCAAAATATAAGAAACCTATTAGTATTCACATACAAGCATACAAGTATTACAAATAATGATACAAAAATGACTTACCAGTGGGCCTAGGTTAACCCCTGCAAACGAATGCACCATGGTTACCATGTAATTAACCAACATCCTCCCAGTTAGTAGCTTAGCAGGGAGCAATCTACCGCTAGGATTGTGATTGTTAGTATGAAAGTCTTTTTCAACCAAGAATTGTTTAAACAACTTCACAATGAAGACGTGCTCAGATCTCGGTTCAGGCAACGCTATGGCACCTGCACCACCTCCATTGAGAGAATCGACTGCAACCATTTCAAACTGTCCTCCGATAGCACCACATCCAATAACAACGAAGTTAATCCAAGATAGGGACATGCAGCTATTGGAGGTGGTGCTATTGGAGGACAGCTTGAAATGGTTGCAGTCGATTCTCTCAATGGAGGTGGTGCAGGTGTCATAGCGTTGCCTGAACCAAGATCTGAGCACGTCTTCGTTGTGAAGTTGTTTAAGCAATTCTTGGCTGAAAAAGACTTTCATACTCACACTCACAATCCTGGAGGTGGATTGCTCACTGTTGAGTTACTAACTGCGAGGATGTTGGTTAATGACATGGTAACCAGGGTGCCTTCTTTTGCAGGGTTAACCTAGGCCCATTGGTAAGTCATTTTTGTACATCATTATTTGCAATACTTGTATCCTTGTATTTGAATACTGATAGGTTATTGATATTTTGTAAATTAGGCTGCTGCACGGGCCGTTTACGGTCCATTTGGATTTATCACCAAGTCCCTCTCTTGAATTAACTTCGTTGTTATTGGAGGTGGTGCTATTGGAGGACAACTTGAAATTGTTGCAGTCGATTCTCTCAATGGAGGTGGTGCAAGTGTCATAGCATTGCCTGAACCAAGATCTGAGCACGTCATCGTTGTGAATTTGTTTAAGCAATTCTTGGCTAAAAAAGACTTTCATACTCACAATCACAATCCTAGCGGTGAATTGCTCCCTGCTGAGTTACTAACTTGGAGGATGTTGGTTAATGACAAGGTAACCAAGGTGCCTTCTTTTGCATTGGTTAACCTAGGCCCACTGGTAAGTCATTTTTGTACATCATTATTTGCAATACTTGTATCCTTGTATTTGAATACTGATAGGTTATTAATATTTTGCAGATTAGGGCTGCTGCAAGGGACGTTTACGGTCCATTTGGATTTAGCCGCAGGTCCCTCTCTTTGATTAACTTCGTTGTTATTGGAGGTGATGTTATTGGAGGACAGCTTGAAATAGTTGTAGTCGATTCTCTCAATGGAGATGGTGCAGGTGCCATAGCGTTGCCAGAACCAAGATCTAAGCACGTCTTCCTTGTGAAGTTGTTTAAGCAATTCTTGGCTGAAAAAGACTTTCATACTCAAAATCACAATCCTGGCGGTGGATTGCTCCCTGCTGAGTTACTCACTGGGAGGATGTTGGTTAATGACGTGGTAACCATTGTACCTTCTTTTGCAGGGGTTAACCTAGGCCCACTGGTAAGTCATTTTTGTACATCATTATTTGCAATACTTGTATGCTTATATGTGAATACTGTTAGGTTTCTTATATTTTGCATATTAGGGCTGCTGCACGGGCCGTTTATGGTCCGTTTGGCTTTAGTCGCAGGTCCCTCTCTTGGATTAACTTTGTTGTTATTAGAGAACAACTTGAAATGGTTGAAATCGATTCTCTAGATGGAGGTGGTTCTGGTGATGCGGCTGAAGGTGGCAAGACAATGTTTTGGAGTTCAAGGGTTATCTGTGACTTTCAGTCTTTGCTTCATAAGTTTGATGAGACCTTTTTGTTTAGGACGTCAATTTAGTGATGTTTTTATGGAATTAGAAGATCTCTTGAAGAATGCGGTTGCAAATTAGCATTGTTTTGGAGTTGAAGAATTATATGTGACTTTCTGAGTCTTTGCTTCATAAGTTTGATCAGACTTTTTTGTGAAGCTTCCTCAGTTTGGTGTTTTTTGTATTGAATTAGGAAGATCCATTTAAGAATATGGTGTGTTTTGGTTCATTATTTCGTGAAGAGAGTGTTCAAAGGTAAGATAGACGTACTAATGTCTAAGTGAAACCTTTTTGGTTATTTATAGGTCTGTCGTTCCCTTAGGGCAAACAGTAAATGATGTTGTAGATATAATAGCTGAAGATTCCAAGATGGTTTCAACATAATAAACCACTTACGTGCATTGTATGAGTCTTTCCGCTCCTAGTAACTCCATAAGCAAAAATTGTACCTAAAAGGAGAAAGGTAAATACCGATTAGTCATGGTTAGTCATTTAACAATCACAATACAGAGGGGCAGTATGACAATAAAGACCCAAGCTCACCAGCATCACTACAATGTTACGATACAAAATTATTCATCAAAATATAAAATTTTATCATGTGGCCTGGCCAAGCAGCACTGAACTACTAGTTACAACTTACAAGGACAAATTTCCCAACAAAAAACACAAAGAAATTTTGCAAAGTCACAAGGCAAGCTTTCTGTTTAGGATTACCGCTGCCTGCTGAAGAGTAAGGAGACAGAGATTGGGCTTCCACACAGCTACAAACAAATATTTGCAACTTGAAGTAGTAATGTTGGTGCTGGACCATTTATAGTATTATACCCTGCATTGCACTACTAACAACCTCCCGAGCACCAACATCATATACATGACGAGTTGTTGCCGTTGGACCAAAGACTCTATCTGCACAGAGCCAGAAAAGCAATAAAAGAGTATTAAGAAAAAGGAGTTGCAGATCAAGTGACCCAGACAGAACAGATGGGATATATATCGGCAAGTTTCCAGCACATTTTTATCCAAGTTACTATGCATACTGCATTTGGCTCTCAAGCAAGCTTCTGTCACCTAAGTCATTGTCAGCACAAATTGTTTCATACATTGGTCACATTATTTTACAATACAAGAACATACACTGGAGCAAACATTTTTAGCTTTGGAATCCTGTCAATGATCTGAAACAACCAAATCAAACACAAACTCTGCCACAACAACTGCAAGACAGCTATTTAGACAGTGTACATGCACTAGCTTTGAGGAGCAAGTTTTGGTAAATTTATACGTATAGCAAGTTGAATTCTTTAGATGTAGTAACATGTCGCCAAAACCATTTTCGCTCTCAACAATTTGTTACCACCAGTATAGCTTTCCAAGACGTTTATCCTGAAGGATGTACCATTTACAGTAGCAATAAATCAGGTTAAACTTTCAGGGTTCAAAATCTACCCTACTATACTTTACAATTCGGCGTGTCAGTTATCTCTTTGTCCTGGTTTGATACTTAGGAAACTCAAAGCACAATATAGCCAAGGATGCAAGTTCCAACAGAACCCATTTCAAAAGCACCAATTTCACTAATAGAACTGAAAACTGAGTTTAGAGGAGAGGGGAGGAAATTAACATGTTTGTACTAACCAAAACCATAAGCAATTGAATGATTGTACTCATTTCTGACATTGTAGTCCCCATCGGCATACCAAGCTATCTCGTCTCCCTTACCAGGCTCCCTAGCAGGCTAGCACTGCACCAAAAACACCGCCACCAATCACCAAAATTAAGCAAACCAAGAACGATAATCCCAAAGTCAACACCAAACAGGCAATTCTACATTTTCTGCGTTGTTTCTCTACCTGAGAGGCCGAAACCTAACCGTGACCGCCACATTTTCCCTGGACTTATTAGCATCAAGCCGGTCGGGAGTCTGACCGGCGGGAGATGAACTGGGACCGGCCGTGGAGCTGGACAACCTCGAGGGGGGCCTGGACGAAGAAGAAGTAACTGATTGAGGAGTTGAAGGCCTTCCACCATGCTTCAACCCCGGAGCCGGCGAGGAGAAACGCTGAGCAGGAGACTTGCGGGAACGGAACGGCGAGATGGAGGATCGGAGTGACCTGCTGCTGCTGGATGACGATGACATGGAGAGAAGAGAGGAAAATCGGTAGCGGGGAAGAGGAAACTAGGGCTCGGCGGCGACGGTCAGGATCCGAGCCGGGGTGGGGGAAAAGGAAGTTTTTGTGGCTGCTTGGTCTTCGTCTTGATCTGGTCCTGTCCTGTCTTTTTGCCGCTTTTTGGACTTTGTTTAGCTGTCCCAGGAAATTACTATCTTTTTCCTCCTCCTGCAGGCGGCTTCACCGGACGGCCACCGGTCGCCAGTGGTTTTAATGCAGAAACAGAGCCTGTACCACTCGTGGAAAACAAAGGGGAATCCTGTCTGAGGCTCTTTCCTGCCCAAGATCCTCCTATGTCACCCGCCGCTTCCGGGACCTCGACTCCTCCAGCTGCTCGGAGTGCGTCGCCCCCATCTCCTCCCTCTTCTCTAAGGTCACCAGGTCGTCGTTCTCCTCCGCCTTCCTCAAGGCGCTGAGCGAGGCCGTGTTCACGGAGCAGGATTTGAACGCGCAAGCTGGATCCGCTATCTGTTTGGCTCCAGCGATCGATTCCGCGGCGGATCCACTCGTCTCCTTTCCCCAGAGCTGCGAAAATTGCCACTACCACTCTCAAATCTGCAAAAAAACCGAAAACTGCCGCTCCAGGAAGAACATCTATTCCCATAAGCAAATCCTCTCCGCATCGATCTTCGTTGGCGGCTATGACGCTCAAGGCAACTGCTCTGTCACTCGAGACCACGCTTCCCTCAAAGGCTTCTCCGGCTTCCCCTCCGTGCTTGAACGAGCCGAGATCTGGGGATTCGATTTTGCCGAGGAGGAGGAGGTGGTGTTGTCATTGGACGCTCCGATTGGCGGCTGATTGCAGGATTGGATCGATTTTGCTTAGGGATAGCAACAAAACCCGAACCCACGGATACCCATCCCATCCAACCCGGTCAACGCGAGCAAAATCCGTGTTGACGGATTTTGGGCTGGGTTTGGATTTAAACCTGTTTACTATTCACCGGGTTGGATTGGGTTTGAGTTTAGATAAACTCGGTCCATGGCTACCCGCCCACACTCATATAATTAATTTTCTCGGTATATTTAATATCTAAACAACTAATCTTCAGTGGTGGCCACCCCGGTCTCCGGTCCAGTCCTCCTCTGGATCCGGTGTTAATATAGTCCTTATTAATTTTTTGATTTTAGGCATTCGGTCTAGTGTTATTTTACAATAAGATTGGGTATAACTAGAAAAATGATTCAAATGAACATATTCAAATCTCTCCTCTAAATTTAGCCTACAAGTTCTAGCCCTAAAGATTATTCGTCTAAAAAAAATAACGAAACCTAAAAGTCTAAAAGTCTAAAACGTAAAAGACTCAAAGAAATACGAGGTTTGTTCCCTTGAAATTTACTAGAGCAGCTGGTGGATATAGGGATAGATACACAATGCAAATTGATAAGTCGATTGATTTGTCTGGTGTTGATGCTACTCGTTTCAACAGCTACTACGGAGAGAACCTTTTCAACAATGAAACATGTGAGAACTGATTTGCGCAACAAAATGAGTGATGAATTTTTCGCTGATTGCTCAAGTATTTTATTTGAAACGATGTATACTATTGGTCGCTAAATTAAAATATCGTAATATACAATTGACATTGTAAAAAAAATTATATAATTTTTTTTTTACTGTTCTAATTTTCAAATGAAATGCGACCAAGTGCTCTTCTGTGAAAAGGATTCGTCGCTGCTAATCTTATTTATGTTTGTGGAGACATGTCTAATTTTTTCTTTGTAATTGTGTAGAATGAAGTTGATGTTATCGAGTGGAGAGTGAAAAAACTTAATTGAAAGGAAGAAGCTTTCAATTAATCATATTATTTATGGATAATTTGTGATTGACTTCAATTTTCTTGAGTTTTCTCGATTGGTGTTGAACAATTTGTATAGTTAATTTGTGATTTGCTTGAAGTTTCTAGGATGGTGTTTTATATATAGATAATTTGTATTGAGAGATTGATATTTGACTTTAATTTTGATAGGAACTTGTTATTGTAAATTTTTTACGACAAAAACCCGTGGGTACCCATGAACCCGCGGATACCCAGCGGGTTGGGTTGGGTTTGAGTTTTTCAAACCCAATGGGTTTTACCCTGGGTTTTTTCACTGATAACGATCAATTTTAGAGTTGACCGCCACGTGAGCAAAAGTTAAGGAATTGGACGGAGAGTGACCAAACGTGAATGATTTCAGTAAACTAAAGTACCACCAATGGATTTAAATTTTTCGAGTGACCAAACTTGAACATTTTTTGCTATCTCAGTGACCAACCATGCAATTAACTCAATAAATAACATGGTATAGAAACCGGGAGTTAATATTTGACGCCCTAGATTTTTAAATTTATCGCCCTAAATCTACCATATTGACGATTTTACCCCAACTTAAACTTAATTCTAGAATGCAATTCCCCCGTCCTTCCCCTGTCTTCACCGCCTTCCGAGAAACACAACCGCCCGGAGTTATGATTTTACAACCGATCTGTGCTGCGCTAAACAAGCCGCCTACCCACCACAATCCGTCGAGAAACAGATCGTCTCCCCACCCCGACCCTTCTCCAAATGCGTTCGTCACCCTCTGCCAGTTAAATTGCCAATCCCTTCGGTCGCCGGTGATTAATCCCTAACCCAGAATGGCCAATCCCGTCGGTCGCTGGCGTTAATCCTTCTCAGGGGCGTTTTCTTCTTCATCTATCCCGTCGCCGGCGAAATTGACTTTGCTGCTGCTCCGCCTCGTCGCTGTTGAGGATGGAGGCGCTGAAGGAGAGAGAAAGCCCGAGCGGCTGGCTGCTGCTGCTCAGCCCGTCGGCGGTGAGGAAGGAGACGGAAGGCCGAAATGACTGACTGTTGTTGCTCCGCCCATCAAAAGTTGAGAAAGGAGAGAGTTATCCGCCTCTGCTGCTGCTCCGGCCCCTTCGTTGAGAAAGGAGAGAGAAGGGAGTTGCCACGGCGGCGTTGCAGCAACACTCGGAAGGGAGTCTTCACGGCGGCGGCGAAGACTGCATTGGCGAAGAGCTTAATGCTAGGGCGATAATTTGTTAGGGATTGGGAATTGTGTGGACAAAAACGTCAAATTACAAAGTTAGGGCGATAAATTTTAAAAAACTTAGGGCGTTAAATAGGAATCCAGTAGAAACCTAGTTGTTAAGAACTACAAAATGGAAGTGCCTCCCTACAAAGCGGATCTAAGTTTGAGGGGTCGTTTGGAGAATATGATTTTAAATCTATAGATTGTCAACAACCTAAAGATTCTAACTCTTCGGATTGTTGAAAATAGATTTTAAAATGTTTAATGTTTGGTAACTGTGATTGTTAACATCCAATGAAAATAAAAAAAATTAATTTTATATTAAATAACATGTTTATCCTTGATAAATAATTAGAGTGATTCGAGAAATATTAAAAACTTTGTTAATAAATATATTTAATATGATAAATAAATAAAAGAAAAAGTAGGAGAAAAAAATATCACGAATCAAGATATAGAATCTCTATGGTTGTGAGAGATTTGATATCCGTAGATTTTAGAGATTTGAAATCTCTAAAGCTAAAGTCCACACTACAAAAAGTAACAAAAAAACATAACTTTCTACAAAATCTACGGATTCAATGAATCCACCCTCTAAATCTCGTTCTCCAAACGACCCCTGAATATTTTCCTATTTTGTTTTTGTTTTTTTGAACGGTATTGTGTATTCCATCATAAACCAAGTACTTATTTCCCCAAGGCCGGAAGAGCACTGTCTGTCCTGGACAGTGGCGGAGCTAGCCCATTAGTGGGCAGGTCCCCGGACCTACCTTGGGTTTGGTCTAGAAAGGCAAAAATATATACATATGTTTGTGTTGCACGTGGGCTTTGAGCCTTGTCCTTTTCAGAATTGGAATGAGTTCCTTTCTTTCACTAAGCTATACAAAGCCCTTTAGTTTTTGCTATTCATGTAGCAGACAATTTTATATTATATTTATTTTTAGCATATTTTAATTAACTAACAGAATAGAAAGACCCAACAAATTGTTTAATCTTGAGATGTCAATCCCTAATTGTTGCTATCGAAAGACTTCTCTCTTGTTCGTTGACTTACCTCTCCAACCAGCAACAAAAGGCCGCCTGCGTACTCTCACATCTTGATCTTCATCAACTAGATGCTTATATATTTGATTTGAAGACTGTGGAAAGGTTTGCAGGATTAAAAGGAATTGCTGAGCTTTCTAGGGAAATGGTTGTGTAAAAAAGACATCGAGTGTATAGACTTCTGATGTTGGCATTGTTGCTACCTGTTGCCACTGCAAGTGTTGAAAGAACATTTTCTGCAATGAACTTCGTGAAGAACACGCTTCGGAATCGGATGAGTGATGAAATCATGAATGATTTTTTAGTTGGTTACATTGAGAGCGACATTCTTGATAGTTTAGATGATGAATGTATTTTACATACTTTTCAGAATATGAAAACACGACGTGGGTCTTTGTAAAACATTAATATAAGTTATTTTATTATTATTTTTAGTCGTTGGACCCACCTTAGAAAAATTCCTGGCTACACCACTGGTCTTGGGGTGCTAAAGAATTACTTCTTAAGGCAGTTGCTAATGTGTTACCAGTCTATGGTATGTCTTGTTTCCTGCTACCTCTTTTCTTATGCCGCTCGTTAGATAGACATCTGGTTAGGTTTTAGTGGGGAGTCAAGAAAGGAAAAAGGCGGATTCACTGGTTTCTTAGAAGGTGATGTGCCTGAGTAAACGTGAGGGTAGGTTGGTTTTCCACTGATTTGAAGAGTTTAACCAAGCTTTGTTGGCTAAGGTGGCTTGGCGAATCTGGAAGGATCCCAACTCGTTGTTAGCTTGTGTGTATAAAGGGAAATATTTTTCGAACTCCACTATTCTACGTGCCATGACTGGGTCCCTACCCTCATGGGGTTGGCGGAGGATACTCCGAGGTCATGATCTGTTGCTTCAAGGGGTTAGATGGCAAATTGGTTCAGGGGAGTCAGTTGAGGTGCTCACTAATAATGTGGTGCCGGCTCTACACCCTTTGCCTCCAAAACCTCGTCAGGGTATTATTGGGGTGGAGGGGAAAGTGGCATCTTTGATTAGTCCTAATCAGGGTGTCTGGAGGGTTGATTGACTCCGCCAAATCTTCGAAGAGGACACTGTCAAAGCTATTTTGGCTATCCCGTTACCCCTTATATGGTCATCTTCAACCTTAGACAGACAAGGTCGTGTACATGTTTAGAAGCACAAAGTTAAATTATCCCGTTACCCCTTACCAAACCAAAAACCCTAACCACCTTAAGACTAACTCCAACCCACAAAGTTAAATTTGGCTCTCCAAATAGGTAAATATGGTTTTTTAGCTTCTCAAACCCCATTTTCACACCAACCCTACAAAAAGAGATTCCCACCACCCTTTTTCAATCTATTTCAATAAACCATACTTATTTGGCCTCTAATTTTTATATTTCACTTTAATTTTTTATAGTTCGCTATTACTTTTGAAACCAAATTTTTTGATGTATTTATTTTTAAATTTCGAGATAGAAATATTTTTATAAAATTAGTCGTTAATTTGTTATCGTTAACTTTGGAACCACTCCAAAACATTTTTCTTCAACTCATTTGAAACTTCTTTCCATTTCTAAAACAAACACATTCGTCACTAGGTCAATTGATTCTCATTTAAATTTGAATCACACACCAACAAAGCAACAACCAATCACAAATGAGGAAGGAGAAGGGGAAAAAAATGCCTGACACTTTGGGCGGGCCGGGCGGCTGGGTTCACCCCCGCGGTAGGAAGTTTCCTTCTGCGCACGTGCGCCCCAAC